CAGATTTACAATTTACGGTTACAGTTCAAAAATTTTGTAGGTCACAATTAATTCGTTGGTCACAGATCAAAATTTATATGTCACACAGTCACAAATTTCCAAATTATAGGTTACGGTTTATTTTATTGGTCACAAATAAAAAAAATTGCAGGTCAGGATTTATCTATTTGTCACAGGTTTCCACATTTGTTGGTCACAAATTACTTTTCAAGTCATAGATTATCAAATTTTAGCATCACAGTTTAATGCTTGGTCACATGTAACCAAGTAATTTGTCACATACACCAAATAGTGATCACACACCACCGTCCTCAACATTACCGCCACCGCCACCGCCTCCACTCGTCTTCGCCGCTGCACCACATCACCACCACCAAATTATCACTACCAAATCCAATCAACTGCCAACAAAAATACAACCACCACCACTATTGAATCTCCGGCCACCAGCTACCATCAACCACCACCACTAACAATCCACATCACACCACAACCATCACCCAACAAAAAACCCAAACCCGTCACGGCTACATCACACGGCCACCACCATCAACTGCACTCAACCAATAAAACTCCACGGTCAAACCACCACGCTGTCACCCCTGCGCCACCGCCTACAGAATCACCACCCACCTTCACATCAGCAACGCCCTACAGCAGCCACGGATCCGTCTGAAAATGTCCCCAGCACCACGACGCAACACCACTGTCATTCACAAATCATGTAGCTACCTCTGCACAGCGCCACCACTGTCAACACCAACGCGGTGCCTCCACCACCACCACCACCACGTCACACCTTGCTATACACGTAGATCTGGATTTGACCGATCAGAGTTATAACAGCTATGGATCGACTGAATTTTGAAGCCACTGCTCCACTCACAGCGCAGTACAGCTGCGATGAAGCCCCTGCTTGACTCTCCGGCAACGGGAGCTCCTCAATGGCGATAGCGATCTAAAGAAAATGGATAGGGTAGAGAGAAACGAGGAGATAATGAGAGGTAGATGAAAATTGATTTAGGGTTTGGGATTAGGTAGGGTGGGAATAATATTTAATTTTTAAATTAATACCTGAATTCTGATTAAAAAATATTTTCACCTGATTTTTGCACTCTAAAGTTGAAATACGTGAAATTATGTAATTTCCTTATTATTAATTTCATTGTTAGCCCAAGATCTAGACCTTTTTAAGTTTTTATCCTTCACTTTCCAATTTCATACTTTAATTCGGTAAGAACGGGTCTACTAACTCCAAATCATTTGATAAATTGAAAATCTACATCTACATGCCCAAATCAAAGCGGCGACTGTCAAGTCCGAATTTCCCTCTCCAACTGCCCATCGAAGCTACGAATGAACATATCATTAGTTGTATTTATGTAGTGTTGCTGTAAATATTTAAACAAATAATTATGATACAGAATCGAACAGAATTGAACTGAACCGAACGGAACCAAATCCAAACGGTTCTATAATTATATTTGGACCCCGACTATTCCATTTATTAGATACTAGAAATTTTTGATTTGGTTCGGTTCGGTTTTGAAGAGAATCGAACTGGATTTCATAACAGAACCGGACCATGTCCAGCCCTAATTATTTTGGTACTATTTTTTGATATGCTTCTAGATTTTCTATTCCCTAATATAGTAAAAAGGGATAAAAACGTAATGAAAACCGAATTCAAAGGAGTTTGATTTAAGAAGTACAAGTGAATGAATTTGGACAAATAGAGAAAAAATAATGCTACGTAACACTATTGATTCACGTGGTCCTATGGTCAACATCTTACAATTGTGTGCAATACCATTTAAAGAAACGTTAAAGAGAAGAAGGACATTCAAATGGGCAGAGAATTAGAAGTTTTTTCAAAAGTATGGATTTGGACACGTACAAGAAGCGTAATACTATGTCACACCATCCATCTAAATGGCAATGGAGTATGCATCCCACGTTTGGCTGCAATAGTTTTTCACGAAAGGTTTTAGAGAGAAATGTCAATGTTTTTTAGAGAGAAAAAATATTAAGCCCTTCGTGGAGGAGATTATTTTAAAATTGATTTTTCACAGAGAATATATAGTTAAAAGTGTGTGTATATATATATATATATGAAAACCCAAAATAATTTTCTTTAGAACGTGAACTTTGATAATGAGGATAGGGACACAACATTAAGAGAGAAACACTAAGCCCTCTTTGTCTTCTTTAAAAATAAATTATTTAATTTTTGTATTTATTTTCAAGCACGCATTCACACAATAAAATATTTTACACGTAAATTCAAAAAAAATTTCTACATTTTAACTACATATTAAGGAAAAAAATCTCACATCGAATAAAGATGAAAATATAGACCAATTTATAAGAGTTTGAGCTACTCCTTAATAAGATTGACCTTTTAAAATGTACCCAAAATCTTAACATGGTATCAAAGTCCGTTAACTTCCAACGAGCAATTCGATCTGACTAAGACTCAAAAAAAATGAAGTATACAGATTTTAAGATTGATCTGCTCAAACGAGTTACCATCTTGCGGGGACATGTTAAGGGATGAAATCTCACATCGGATAAAGATGAAAACATAGACCAATTTATAAGAGTTTTTGCTACTTCTCTTAATAAGGTTAATATTTTAAGATGGAATCCCAAATTTTAACACCACACGTTTTTCAAAAAAATTACTATTCAAAATATCATTTCTTCTAAATGATGACCATCAAACATAGGCTAAAATTCCAATGTTGAAATGTTACGTAGATAGAAACAATAAATTCTATGAGAGGGAGAGAGAGAGAGAGAGCATTAAAATTTTGTTATAATAATATCTATAACCTATTGTCACGCGTTACAACTTACACGTACATATCACATTTGGTAAAGGAATCACAACAGATCGGCAATTGCAAAAGAATGGTCCAAAATTAAGTTCCAAACAATACCTTACGCGTCAAAGCCAAACACTCCCAAAAGTACATCTGGTAAGTTTACAAGATAATTATAGAGATTGTTACCTATTGAAACCTGGAAACTTTTCTCATCCCTATTAATTATCACACAACATTTGTGTTAATAAACAATTAAAATGTTAATTTTTTAATTACAATTTTACACCTGGACATGGTAGGTTGCGCAGATTTCTACAGAAAATTCTTGTTTGCCCATAGTTTTAATAATATGTAGCTTGGTTTTCAGGCTAGGGTTTTCATTCTAAAATACAATATAGTAATTGATTATTTTGAAATCTTATTATTAATTTTTTTTTTAAAAAAAAATTATTAGTTCTAAGAATTATGAAACCAGAACCTTTATCTGAAATCTGAATGTTTATGAATATAATAAGGGTTATGACTGAATTGAAATTTTGGGTGGTTTTGATCCTGGACCAAATTTTTTGTTCCCCAATTTTAGGATTTTATTTCTAATTCTGTCTGGAGATAATTTCCATGTAGATCATGGTGTTTCGCCATTTGTCAGTTTTGCTGTAAACAAAAAGTGATTTGGTGGGTACCATCTCTCACATCTAGGTTTGAATTAGGGTTAGATCTGGTAAATTTGATTATGTTTGCTTGCTTTAGCTTTTACTTTTAGGTGATATACATGTTTATGCCAACAATTTTACTGTTTGTCAATTTGATTTTATTTTCTGGAAAATCTTGGTGTAGGGATTGGAGTCTGAGCAAATTTAAGTCAAAGGAGTTATATCTTTTGGATCAGAATATGTAAGTCTCGTGATTTCTATGTTTATTTGCATCTACATATTTATCATCTACCCGAGTTCGTAGCATTTGTTCTTGGTTGCGGCGATCAGGTGTACCGCCTCTTTCGTCTCTGACCTGTGGATCTCTTGTATATTGTTTTTTCATCATCAGTGGAAGGCCACCTTACATCTTGCTATATTGGGAAATGTACCTTTTGCAGTTGAATTAATATCTTCGTGTTCAACAATTTGTGAATTATTTGAGCAACCTGGACAGAGAACTTGTGTATTGCTTGTGTTTGCATGTATATGAGAAATATTTGATTTTTGTCAAATCAAGTTCTTGACTGAAGAAATAAAATAAATAAAACTAGTTTGTTTATCTGTTCTTCATGCATTTATGATGTAATTCACCCCCCCCCCCCCCCCCACCACGACCTGTTTCTTCCTCTATTTCCATCTATATCAAATCACCCGTGGGGGAGGGGGTGGAACCAAGGAAAACATTGATGGAAATATCTCCTTGAAAAGGTCAAATTATGTTTTCATAGTTATTCTTAAATATGGAAGATCCTTTCCATCTTATCCAGATATGTAACGAAACAAGTATAAAATTAACATTGTGCTTATTGCCTTCTGCTGATATTACTTGTGGTGGAGGGGAGTGAGGTAGTTTAGGGAGAAACAACGTTACTTGTCAGTTTTATAGAAGAATATGTTGTTAAATTGGAGCATTTGGCATGAAAAATATCTTAACATACCTACTGTTTTCATGTTTATGTAGCTTGCAAAAGACTACTTTTTATTGTGATGAAATCAGATTTGTCATGTCTAAATTTCTGCCTTTACGAGCAGATCCATTTCAAAGCATTCACAGTGAAGTTTATATTCATTAATTAGTAAGAAGAGAATATATAGCCCCGAACTCCTTGAATGATATTGCTCTCTCCAGCTTAAACTTTCTTTGGCTTACTTTTGTTTCTTTTGCATACTATGCACATAAAGTTTCTTGTGGACATTGAAGATGCATCTGGTATTGAATAAATATTCTGCGAGACTTTTCTAGTTCAAGTGATTTTTGCACTCGACGTCACATTCCAACGGCCCATACTGAATGCTTCTGCAATTCCAGATTGTTATCAATAGAGGATAGACTTCTAGGTAATAATTTTCTCCTCGTTTTTCATTAATAACAAAAGAAAGAATGTCATTTATTTTTCCCCTGCCCTCCAAGTAGTATATAGAACAGTTTATTTATTTAATCAGTTCACCATGTGACTACTTCGATTTCTCAGCAGTGATGGGGACAGAACTTGCTGGACCTCGGGTCAAAGAAGAGAAAATGGAAATTCCATCAATTCCACCGGGTTTCGAGTCACTAGTTCACTACACTTTGAAAAGGGTCGACATTGATAAAGGTTGTTCCTCAGCATCAGATAGTGTTTCTGAATTGCAAGCAAGCCAGTTAAAAACAGAGTTCGCTTGTAAAAATGACTCGAGTATTGTGAAGACCCTCAGGCGTAGATCTTCCATAAACTACAGCCAGTTCAGTAACAGCTCAAGTGATGATTCTGATTCTGAGCAGGTTAATCGAGTTTTGGTGTTATAATATGTGTCGAAGTTTCATTTTCCATGCACATGTAACCTGAATTAATAGTTTCTTGTATATGTCCACGTGCAGACCATGCCTTCAAGGCTCCAGCTTCCGAGAGGGGTTATCCGTGGATGTGAAGACTGTAACAACTGCCAAAAGGTCAATCTTTCAAAACTAATCTTATTTTGTTTTAATTCGTGGGTCTGCATTCAACAGAAAATATTTTGATCTACATGTTTGGCAAAGCTAAAATATAATTTAAGCTGGTTGAACATATTTTTTATCCACACTTTTTTATTTTTGGTAACCGTGGATGTTCGGGCCAGCTTGCGCGCACCTCGACTAATCCCACAGGGCCCTGAAGTTTACGGCCGGATACTCACCTCAGTGGTCTTGAGGGGACTCGAACTGGTGACCATTGGGGAACAAACCCAATGGCTAACCAATTGAGCAACCCCTCAAGGTTTTTTATCAACACATTTCGAAGACACAACTTACTACCTATTTATTATTAACACATATGTAAGACTCACAACTTACGAGTACTCAAAAGCACTTCCAAACAAGCATGATGTTGTTGTAACCTGGCTCAAAAATATAAATGTGCACACATTATAGATGCATGTATAGCTATGTGAACTTATATATGACCAAATATATCCCTCTGACAGCGTCTTACAATCACCAAGTTCATGTGTAGTCAAGTTTACAACATAGCTTAGAATGTGAATTGCTAAAACCAAGTTTTGCAGACAACTTTACTTTCCTCGTGTTCATTAGTTTACCGCAAGCTAGTAATTGCTCTAATTGTAAAGAAGCTGAAATAAATGGAACAGGTTCGGTGTTTGATACATTCGTGAATTTTGAAGCAGGTAACTGCAAAATGGCGTCCAGAAGAAGCTCGCAGGCCTGATCTTGTGGAGGCTCCTGTGTTTTATCCAACAGAAGAGGTCCTTATTGATCTTGACATGCATTTTCATCTACTTCAATGTGATTGTACCTTAAATTCTTTTCTTTTTTATACTCTAATATCTGACTTGGAGCTTGGATAATTTTTTAGATCTAAAATGATCATAATGACAAAGTATCTTAATGAATGCTTTTCTACCAGGAGTTTGGAGATACTTTAAAATATATCGCAAGTATACGCTCTAAAGCGGAAACTTATGGGATCTGCCGCATAGTACCTCCTCCTTCATGGAAACCTCCTTGTCCTCTGAAGGAAAAAAATATATGGGAGAGGTCTAAGTTTACTACTCGTATCCAGCGGATTGACAAACTTCAAAATCGGGATATAGTGAGAAAGATATTTCAACTCAATCAACATAAGAGGAGGAAAAGGAGAAGATGCATGAAGAATGAAGTCAATCATGGGAATGCTATTGAGTATATCAAGATTCCCGGTGATGTTGGACTATATGAGTCTGAGACGTTTGGCTTTGAACCTGGTCCCGATTTTACACTGGACACATTTCAAAATTATGCTGATGATTTCAAGGCCCAGTACTTTAGGGTAAACAATAGTAGTTCAAATTCAGGAGGTAACAAAACTATGCTCGAGGAGCAGTGGCATCCCTCAATAGAGAATATTGAGGGTGAATATTGGCGGATGGTAGAGAAACCAACGGAAGAAATTGAGGTAATTTTAGAACGTCCATCTTTAAAGATTTTACGAATTAGATGATTATGTCATTTCACATTTTTCCTTATTACACGATTTAATTTAATCATTCTTATTGTGCTCCTTTTTTAGGTTCTTTATGGGGCTGACTTGGAAACAGGAGTATTTGGAAGTGGGTTTCCTAAGAATTCTCATCAAGCTGGTTCTTCTTCTAACATAAATTATATCAACTCGGGATGGAACTTGAATAACTTCCCTAGGCTTCCTGGTTCTGTTCTTTCATTTGAAAGCAGCGATATATCCGGTGTTCTGGTCCCTTGGCTGTATATAGGAATGTGCTTTTCTTCATTTTGTTGGGTAAGGAAAAAGACCTCCTCTGTATCAGTAAAATGATGATATGTCGTGCTTTTCGTAGACATCTGTACTTATAATGCTTCTTAATCTATTCCTATTTCCTCATTGCAAATTTGAAAATTGATTCATGATGAACTGATGATGATTGTCTTCAAATGTTCATGTATTTACGTCCTAGTGTCACGTTCAAATAACTGTTTTTGATTGAAAATGTTTGTGCAAATTAGGGATGAAGCTATTTCCTGTTCGGATAGATAATTATTCTTGATGTCTTTAATACTAATTTCGTTTTGCTTTAAAGATGAAAAGTTGTGACAAAAGATTTATGTCTAAAAAAGATGAGCATTTTGCAAAAATCGAACTTGAGAGCGTATGGCCTGTTTATAACTTACACGAAAGGAAGTGTTCGACATGGTAATTCTTTTATTATTATTATTATTATTATGATAAGGATGGTTAACACTGGATCAATACAAGTGCTTTTATTTTTCTCCTTGTCAATCAATTATATTTCTAATTGTTAACAGCACGTTGAGGATCACCACTTATACTCATTAAATTACATGCATTGGGGAGCTCCAAAAATGTGGTATGGTGTTCCTGGATCAGATGCATTGAAACTGGAGGCGGCTATGAGGAAACATTTGCCTGACCTCTTTGAAGAACAGCCAGACTTGCTTCATAAGCTGGTAATTGTTTTTCTTTCTTTATATAGAGATGCATTTTGAGAAAATAGCAATATAAAAATCTTTACTTTCTTTAGGGGCTTTACAGGTGGCTAATACAGATACTGGTTTTTTCATTTCTGTTACCAACTTTCAAGCCCTCCTACCTTGTAAACATTCTTTTGGTTGTTGTGATACTTAACAATTTGGGCAACATAAAAAGCAAGTTGGAGAAGGAAAATAGTGTTTACAAAAGAAGGAAATGAGTTAAAATAATAGAGATTCGGTATATTATAGGTCTCTATCTCACAAAATACACAGGCATGCACATGTAATTTCTGTTTTGAAGGTAATATCCAATTATATCAGGTGTAAGCTTAGCAGCTCCTTCCATTGTTAAATATTCTACAAGCAATAAGCTTGAGGATTGTCCATGCTAATTTACATATATTAGAGTGTGGATAGATTTTTAGTAATTCCTAGTAGCCTTCCAAAGCTATAATTTTTTGACTTTATTTCAATGAAGCACTTCTTTAGTTCTGCTCAATTCCAATTTGGCGAGCACAAGTCCTGAAATAATATTACAGGTTTTGACAAACATTTGTTCTGCTAAAAGTTTTGAGATCGTCTTGAGAAAAATTTCTGATAACATTTCCTCGTTTTTCCGTTGGATTTGTTCTTAATGTATTTTTTTCCAGTTCCTGATGCTGGTTGAGCAATGTGCTATTAAAAAAGTCGGTGCAAGTTACATTCCTTTTAGCGGAACATGTAACTTTTATGTGTGTAGTGAAAAGATTATGTGCCTTCGTGGTGATTACTTGACATTTAAAGATTCTTTATTTTTTATTTTTTTACAATACCGTTTATTACAAAAAGTACACATGATTCACTCGAATGATTTATTTTCTTTCTTATTAATTAAATAAATAAATAATTTTCATTAAAATTTAGTGGCATTTTTTCAATTCTTCGAACATCCTAATCTAGCAAATAAATTTTGCTAGAGTATTGTACTTCGTTGCAATTCATTGATAGTGGCTGACTTGTTTAACTTCAACAGCACTGTGATCATGACCGACTTGTTTGAGTTCACTTTCCTTCGGACTGTTTTAGTGAGGAAAATAGAAGAGATTATAAAGATAAAACTTTTCTACTTTTTTGCCGTCTAAAGAAAGCTTGGATAAGTGAAGTGCCGAAAAAACAAACAGGGCATTTTAAATCTTGTCATCTTCTGTTCTGCTTTTCTTGCCGTTCAACTCTATTTAGATGCAATCCAAATTTTCATTCTTAAATTCGTATATTATACGATAAACCAGCTGGTATTCAATTTATTTAGACTATCTTCCGCTTGGACTGCGACCTATCAGCTATCTCAATATACTAATTTTACTCTTATTGTTCTGTTGGGTTAGTGTGGGTGTTTGAAGTTCGCCCTTTTCCTGTACTCATTCCAAATTCATTATCATTCTGCAGGTTACACAACTCTCCCCCTCTATCCTAAGATCTGAGGGAGTGCCAGTTTATCGGTGTGTTCAGAATCCTGGAGAGTTTGTTCTAACCTTCCCTCGAGCATATCATGCTGGGTTCAATTGCGGTTTTAATTGTGCTGAAGCAGTTAATGTCGCTCCTGTTGACTGGTTGCCCCATGGGCAGAATGCTATTGAGCTCTATTTTGAGCAAGGCAGAAAGACTTCCATTTCACATGATAAGCTATTGCTTGGTGCTGCTAGAGAAGCAATAAAAGCAAATTGGGAATATAATTTACTGAGGAAACATACTTCAAATAATTTAAGATGGAAGGATGTTTGTGGAAAGGATGGGATCCTATCAAAAGCACTCAAGGTAAGTATTTATGCATCCTGCTGTTACTGATTTTTTGGTTCATATGCTACCACAATTGTTAGACTGAAGAGCTTCCACATTATATTTTGGCTAGACTCGTGTTGAGATGGAGCGGGTGCGGAGGGAATTCCTAAGCAAATCCTCGCAGGCACTGAAGATGGAGAATTCTTTTGATGCTTACAGTGAGAGAGAATGCAGCATATGTCTATTTGATCTGCATCTGTCTGCTGCAGGTTGTCACCATTGTTCACCAGATAAATATGCTTGCTTGAACCATGCAAAACAGTTGTGTTCATGTTCCTGGAGTGCTAAATTCTTTCTTTTCCGTTATGACATCAATGAATTGAACCTATTGGTTGAAGCTTTAGAGGGAAAACTAAGTGCAGTATATCGATGGGCAAGGCTAGATCTTGGACTTGCCCTGAGTTCCTATTTATCAAAAGATAATATGCTAGTCCCTAGCTCAATTGGTAAATTATCTCATACCCATAATGCTGAAGGATTGGTTCCTCAAGAAATGAATTCACAGGCAGCCACAGGTTTTTCAGATGAGCATACAGACAAAGAAAATGCCGAAATCCTGAAAGTGAACAATTCTTTCTGGAATGAAAAGGAAGCAAAACATACTTCACCATGCAAAGAATCAGAGTCTTCTCCCAAATATAAAACAACAGCACGTCAGCTTTCTCGGCCACCACATCCTGGAAGCAAAGATATTATAGTCTTAAGTGATGATGAAGGAGATGCACCCAGGTCTGAAACTTTAGATGCAAAGGGGACTTCTGAAAAACTTAAAGGTCAGAAGCCATTTGGCCACGGTGACGTGACAAGTTTGAGTACTTGTGTTAACGGACCAGTGACAACTACCAATAATAGCGTGGCTAATATGAGCGGAAGAATGAAGTATGGTTCTAATTCAGCATACATAAAAGTTGAAGAACATGTAGACGGTGAGATGTGTGGTAGGCCCAATCTGCCTAGCACTTCCTGTCATGGATCTTCTGGGACTGGCGCAGATAATAATAGAGATGTTAAGAGCATTCCATTGAAGAAGGAGACTGCTGAGCGTAGTATGATAATTGTTTGTGGCTTGAGAGCACAACGGTTTGCTGATACAAAGCCAAGCAATAAAGATAGTCATAAAATGGAGTTGGATGCTAATTTGGGGTCAATGGACAATGTACAAAATGTATCGTGTAACCCATCTGTCTCTCAGAATAATTTGGACAGGTGTTGTCGCCAGAAGGGACCTCGTATTGCAAAAGTAGTTAGGAGAATCAATTGCAATGTAGAAGCTCTGGACTTCGGAGCTGTGCATGCTGGAAAGTTATGGTGCAACGCCCGGGCTATTTATGCAAAAGGTATGATGCATGGTGTTCATCCATGTTGCTTCTGGATCCCATGCAAAATTTTATTGAATTCGATGTAATGTGCTTGTTTGTTCTGTTCAATGCAGGATTTAGGAGTCGAGTCAGGTACATCAATGCTCTTGATCCAACAAATATGTGCTACTATGTCTCGGAAATTCTGGATGCTGGACGAGATGGACCCTTGTTCATGGTAATTAGATTTTTTATAACAGTCAGAAATCTATCTTGAAATTTTATGTCCTACAGACCTTTCAAAAAAAAAAATTATGTCCTACAGGTTTTTGTTTTGCTCGACTCTTATTTCCATCAAACGGCGATCTAGAAATAAATGAGTCCTTTTTATTTTCAGAATTAATAGATTTATATGATAGCAGCAATATAGGGCAAATATATGAATACCACAGATTATGTTTCACCCTAGTTCTTGAATTATTAATTCGATGTTCTGAACATGACTAATTCAATACTGCGGATATATTGCATTTTAGGTTTCGTTGGAGGATAATCCAAGTGAAGTGTTTATTCATGTCTCGGCTGCTAGATGCTGGGAATTGGTACGGGACAGAGTAAATCGAGAGATTACAAAGCAACATAAGTTAGGAAGAAAAATGCTTCATCCTTTACAGCCTCCCGGGAGTGTTGATGGCATGGAAATGTTTGGCTTTTCTTCACCAGAAATTTTGCAGGTAAAGCCCTTGATTCAGTTTACTTTATATGTGTATCTTCAGAGGGGACTGGTTGGTTAATTTCGGACAAAATAACCTCTAATTTCATTATGTGCCATTTTTGTTTCCTCGTGCATTTCTCTATATTTATCTTTACTTTTTAGTTATCAAATTAGCTTGTTAATCCAGAATGGGAATTCTGCGTCAATGAAATGTTGATCGCGTATGCTTCAAAAAACGATGCATACACGAAACATGATGAGTAAGTATTCTAAACAAGGCCTAAATAGTAATAATCTAGTCCCAGTGGCTAGAAATGTGGATCCAAATCCATACTAAAGCTCACACTTAAATTCTCAAGTTTCTTAAAATCAACGGAGGATAGGGAAAAAAAGATGAATATCTGTACGATAAATTTACAGTAAACAGAAGTCAAAACTGAAAAACTCAAGTAACTTGGATGCTATTAAATGTAATATAAATATTTTATGAAACCCACAGAAAATATGAATATAAATTTAGAATTATGCTTCTTGTACATTCCTTGTTGACATCAAGATAGACACCAACCCCCTCCCCCATGTGTAGGAAATCTTGCTAGGATTTTGTTACTTGTACTTAAAAAATATTCATAATGAATTACATAATATGATATATAGAGAAAAGATTAGATAAAAAAATTGATTGTCTTTTAAACTAACAAATGGTAGAATGCCATATGGCATTATATAATCAATTATGTAAATCTTGATGTACATGTAGCCAAATCCATCTTACTGTTGGTTGAAAAAAGTGTTGTTAAAATCAATGTACAAAAATCTGCCAACTTATATGATGTCAAACTTGATGTACATATAGCATGATTGATAAATTTAACACTAATATACATGCCCAGGCAATATTACTAAAGTAAACTTGAAAAATGATTCAATAAATCTTTCTTTATAATTGAAGGATCTAAAGTTCTACTTGATTTGCTTTATCTACATAATATTTATATGCACATGCACGTGTAGACGTACATATGAAATATGTTTTAGCCTACCTAAGCACCAAAACCTTACGAAATAGGAGAAACCATCAAAGAAAACTGGTTGTTCTGTTTACTAAAGAACAGGCTTTTGTAATGGTAACTAAGATGTTAAAGCAAAAAAGGATGACAATAAGGATATTTGCAAGGCTGAGAATAAAAACTGCTGCACAAAAATCTATGAAGAATTAGGAAGAAGAAACGAGTAATGCTATTTACCGCTAGTGGTGCTATGCACCAGTATATTTGGCACTGAGGTCACTGCCACATTATCCAATGAATTTGGAATGCATTTTTATTCATTGGACAATGTAGCACTGCCCTCACTGCCCCAGATTTGTGTTTAACACCATTAGGGTTAGATTGGTGCTAGACTCTTTATGGACTACTTTATGTTAAAAAATTTATGAAAAAGCATGAAATGATTTGGCTGTCTGAGAATCCGGTCAGAGAATTGCAAGAGGAAGATTTTTCACCTGTTCTGAATCCTCAGAAACTCGTCCTATTCTTTTAGAATCTGTTCTTGGGTGAATCATGGTGAATGGTAAAATGTGGACTGTTTTTTTATTTGTAATCTAATTCTTGCATGTGACAAGAGAAAGTTTGCCTCGGATTCTTTAAATTGTCTCCTCTCTCACAATCTACACTTCCTTTCTACGCAGGTACTTCAGGGCATGGACCAAGATCTAGTTTGTACGGAATACTGGAAATCACGGCCCTTGAAACAGATTCCTCAACATTCTCAAACTTTAGACCACTGTGGTAAGTACATTGTCAAGTCTGAACCCTCTAATGATCAAGAAATGTCCGAAAGCCACCCATTACATTCTGGGATTGATAGAATACTTAATGGCCTGTTCAAAAAGGCAAGTTTAGAAGAAGTGTGTGCACTGTACAGTATTTTGAATAGCAAAAGTCCGACTAACGATCAAAGTTTAGTGACCCAGTTGCTTGACGAGGAGATTCACAGGCGCCAAAGATAACTTTCCCGGCCTTGTGGTAGACTCTTGATTCGCCATTGATTTTTGGTGCGTTACATTCTAGGTCACTATCACACATACGTCTTGTTTAGATATATTCTCTCTCTCTCTTTTTTCTTTTAATGGCTTGTATCAGAAGAGCCGGTTTTGTTGGATAGGTATTCAGAGCAATCATCACTACATCCATTTACACAGGGTAATAACAAAAATGCAATTCTTTCTTTTTGATTGTGTATTCATTAAATACTTGCACATTTATTTTAGGGATAAAATGTATTGAGGTTGGAGCATATACGGAAGATGATTTACCCAATCAAGTGCTTATTGATTCGATTGAATACCGGGATTTGACTGCAAAATATGAATAAATCTCAAAATAATTTATCGAAAAATCAAACAAATCCAAGAGCAAAATGAACTCCATGTTTAAATACGATATTACACAAGGAATAAATGAAGCGTCAACCTGAATGAACCAAGCAAAGGTCGCTACCCGGTAGGCAGTCGGTTGACCACTTCTCTAATGACTATCAACCACAGCATGTTCAGGGATGGATGGTTATTCATAAGATTTAGACTCAACGACAATTTTACTAGCCACTCACCAAAATGTCTAGATTGATGAAGTGTGTATTTTGAGGCCCCAAAACTGCATAATACGTGGAGAAAAATTGCCAAGCATATGGAGGAAAATCGATAGGCACTCTGATCATTTACTTATTCTCATGTCGGCTGTCAAACGGGAGAGATAGCACCCAACCCTTTTTTTTAGTTAATCAGGTTGCGTAAGTGCCTAATACCACCTTATTCCAAAAAGAAAGTTGAAGAGTCGTGTTGGGGTAATTTGTATTAGTGGCTGGCACCACCTCGTCCCTCTTCAGATAGTATCAAGACAATGATCTTTCGTCAACGTCGCACATAAAATCTCCAATATCAAATTTCATTTGCTAACTTTTTTGATCCGCCAACTCTTAGTATTTCTACGAAAATGTTACTAAATGATTGCGAGTGAAACTGATAATGTGTTGTGGGTTGGAAAATAGCTTGTACATGGGCTGCTTTGATATAATTTTGAGCTAGACTCGTTTCTTCATTTTGGAATTCACATTCTCCTTCACGAGAATATCAAAATCATATATTTATTTTCTAAATATTAAGTTCGGGTGAATAAGAAATTGAAGTTCAAAGTGTACCAATTGGAAGAGATTACTTTTGAAGGGTATAATGATATGTTGGAGGAAAAACAATTAAAATTTGTCCCACAGAGAAAAACTAACAAGGCAATGGCTAGTTTATATATGACTACTTTTGAAGGGTATAATGATATGTAGCATAGAGACTTTCACTATGTGTGCATATAAGAGGTGTAAATCACATATCGAATTAGCATCTCTGACCATTGAATTTATGTGTGGGACTCGAACCTTGGTGGACGGTTTGCTGCCAGCAATCACCATTAAGTGAAAAGCGTGTTTCTCTGGCTATAACGTTTTATCCCATTTCCTTACCAAGATGTTGACACGTGGAATGATCTGGACTGTTGGCTGATTCTTTGGCTGACTCTTAAACTTATTCAGAACGCTTCCTTTGGATCATTCGAGAAATGCTCTCTTTTCGTCTGCCTTGTGAGTATGTCGGCTGTCAAACGGGAGAGATGGCACCCGACCCTTTTTTTTAGTTAATCAGGTTGCGTAAGTGCCTAATACCACCTTATTCCACTAAGAAAGTTGAAGAGTCGTGTTGGGGTAATTTGTATTAGTGGCTGGCACCACCTCGTCCCTCTTCAGATAGTATCAAGACAATGATCTTTCGTCAAGGTCGCACATAAAATCTCCAATATCAAATTTCATTTGCTAACTTTTTTGATCCGCCAACTCTTAGTATTTCTTCGAAAATGTTACTAAATGATTGCTAGGGAAAATGCTAATGTGTTGTAGGTTGGAAAATAGCTTGTATGTGGGCTGTTTTGGCATAATTTTGAGTGAGACTTGTTCCTTCATTTTGGAAGATAAAAGTAGATTCATGTTCTCCTCCATGAGAATATCGAAATCATATATTTATTTTTCAAATATTAAATTGAGGTGAATGAGAAATTGAAGTTCAAAGTATACGAATTGGAAGAGATTTATAAGTTGGAGGAAAAATAATTAAAGTTTGTCCCATATAAAAAAATTTACAAGGCAATGATTAGTTTATATATGACCATTTTTGAAATGTGTAATCATGTGTGGTATAGAAACTTTCTCTATGTGTGCGTATAGGGGATGTATATCACAAACCGAATTAGCATATTTGGCCATTGAACTTATGTGCTAGCAGCGGCAATGTGCGAGTACGACCTGCATAAACGAATGTTAAAACCTAAATTGGCCCCTTAATAGGGTCTTAAGTTTTGCCTTAATTTTCTATTTTTTTATTTTCCCAAATGCATTAGTAATGAAGTTGCCAACATTTAGGGATAGCAAAGTCATGGAGGGAGAATAGTTGTGATGTATTGAGTGCTCATAATGGCTCTGAAACAAAGAAGAAAATCCGAAAAATAAGGCAACAATGTTTTAAAGCTATAAACTTTTTTGTTTTATTTTGAGCATGAGCACATGGGCGGACCCCGGGGGGCACGTGCCCCCAACTTTTGAGATACTTTTTTTTTTTTTTAATAAAATCACGTTTGGTATCGATTGAAATTTTAATTTTAATCTAAATCAAAGTTAACAATTAATTTTAATAACATATTTCATAGAATCCATAACTGTTTAATTTTTACCAAAATTTACTAAAAATTTGATTTTAATCTCCNACTATTTAATTTGTACCCAAATTTACTAAAAATTTGATTTTAATTTCCACCAAACAGGAGTAAAATAAAAATAAATTTTAATTTCGAAATATACAAATTTTAAAAATTCTCCGACGATCGTACGCTAATCGAATCTACAAATTATTGGTATCATTTCGAAACTTATTTCAAGAATTACATTATGGATATATCGAATAGTTCAAATATATATCGAAAATAGTTAAAAATACGTTAAACGTGAACTTTTAAAAAGCCATCTAACTCGCATTCTTTAAAAAAAAAATTCAATTATTTCAGTAACATTATTTTTGTGATACAAATTTCTCAATGTAATTTTCATCATTTTAAGGAAATTTTCAAAAAAATTCGAAATTTTACACTTGAAAAAGTCATATCCCATGTAAATTTTTGGATGTAAAATTACGTGGAGTATGATTTTTTTAGACGTAAATTTTCGATTGTAAAATTTCTCCCAACTTCTTTGCAAGTTCGATCGTGCCCTCCTAACGTTAAAGTTCTGCGTCTGCCCCTACATAAGCACTAGGCATTAAAAGATACTCATTTATATACAATGAAAAGTAACATATATACACACAATCTGTAAGTCGATATACTCTTCATATCACTGTTTGATTTGTTTCAAAACTTGAAATAGCTTTTATACATTTCACCCTAACTGATTTGCTCTTATCTAAATCCAATAATCATGAGCTATAATTGGATAGAGTTCCACATCGTTAGATTCCCATCTTGGTTTGAATTTGTTGATATTTGAACTTCTTTATCCCCCAATATCTATCCATTTATATGGGCAGTGTTGTTTGAGTTTGCAACCTTGTCACTCTGATAATCTTGAGTTAACTTATCATTCCATAGTGTCGAGATTGGAGGCAGAGTTTGGTTTGAAAAGATTGAGAGCAACCTTTGACACTGGTTTAGTATATAGGTTTGTAATTATTTTGCCTTCCCCATGTCAAATGTTATCGTAGTGTGAATTCGCTTTCCCATGAATCTTGTACATATGCATTTTTAAGTGCTTTTCATGCTATATGGTTGTGTCTAAGTCCAATAACGAGTCTCGGGTTTCTTCAGAGATTGTTCCGATGATCTACCCAAGAAGAAGACGATCGAACTTTTGCCGTGCAATGAACTCATTTATTAATTTTGTTATGAAATTTTCTATTTTAGTTGTGGTGTTGAGATTTGGTGTGATATATTTGATGGGGGCAAGGTTTTCATTGGTGAGATGACCAATCGGTTCTTGGCTTTCTGCAAGAGTAGAGGCATATTCTTGACATAGGGAGTAATTGATAAGTGGGTCCAAGTGTAATGAAGTTGCCAATATTTAGGGATAGGGAAGTCATGGTGGAAGAGAAGAGCTATGATATGTCGACTGTTTACAATGACTCTGATATCAAGACGAAAATATGAAAAATAAGGCAAAAATATTTTAAAGTTGTAAATTTCTTGTTTTATTGAGAGCATGAACACTAGGAAATTCAAGAGACTGATATTTATATATAAAGAAAAAGTAACAGATACACACAAAATTTGTCTTATCATATCATTGATTGATTTGTTTCTTCTACTGTACCTAGACTTGAAATAGTTTCTATACATTCTGCAAAAATTGATTTGCTCTTATTTGAATTCGATAATTGTGAGCTATATGGATAGAGTTCCACATTGTTAAACCCCCACCCCCCGGTCTATCGACTTATATAAGCAATGTTGAATGAGTTTTCAACCTCATCACCCCGATAATCTTGGATCACCTTATTATTCCATGAATCATGCTACATGTACATTTTGTTTGACATTATACCACGTGTCTTGATATCATTGGACGGTTTAAAAAAAAAAATACACACACACACGTGTTCCTGCCCATATCAATTTTAAACTCAATGAAGTGTAAACCACAATGTACACGAGAATGTACAAGTGGTTTTATCCTTATTCCATTGACTCACATAATATTTTTGGTATCTTCTTAGACAAGTAGGGTGGGAATTGAAGTAGATTTTGAGTGTGATATTTTGCTTAGACGATAAATCAGGAACTATTTCAGACCATCGGCATCCACATTGTATCTCTAACTTTTATCCATATTGGTTTTGAGCCAAAGTACAAAAAGTTTGAATTAATTAATAGCACAAATTGAAATAGACGTCCTAAAATGTTTTATTAATTCGGGTGCCCAAAC